TTTGTTTTGACAACCACATGTCAATCTTCATCAATGGGATCTTGTATGTAAAAAACTTGCTCTGCTTGGGTGGCCAGCACAAATGGTTCATCTGTAGACAACCATCAACTTAGGTTCACACTTGTGAATCCAAAGTCTTCAACCCTTAATCCTCTACTTTTAGTAATATCAACTCAATCACATTTAAACAACAACACCTTTAGTTGCCCATAATAATCCATTTCATTGATATATGTTAAAACACCACAATATGCAACATTTAAAACAAGGTTTTTATCTCTTGTACTAGAAAAACTTGATGTTTATGCAATCATAACCACACCACTATTTTGAGTCCTTCCTTTTATCTTCATTGTGATACTTGGTGTGGTACCTGAAGCCATTTATATCAACTTCTTTGTATCTCTTTGTTGTTGAGCAAGGACCACCAATTAAACTATTTGGTAGTTGCTCAGTTGCTTTCCTATGCAAACGCAACTCTAAAACTTGTACAAGATTAGAAGGATATTATGTATGGAGTAGTTTTAGACCAATATCATTAAATGTTTACACAAGGAGAAGTTGATAAAATTTATTACTCATATGGTCCTTAAACCATGAAGCCAACTTCCTATTATGAATCACTTGCAGATTATGTAGTCGAGCCCTCAAATGTTGTTGCTGAATCATTTCCATATGTTTGTTTGCATATGGTTGAACTTATAAGCCAAAGAGTCCAGGACAAAAAATAAACTTTGAATAATAAAGCTAAAAGTTTATCTTTACTATTCTATACAAATAACTTTTTTTTTATCAATAATTCTATACAAATAACTAACTGGATATATGGATTAACTACATCATAGTTGGTTAAGACATACAGGTGAGCCTTCACCATTGTGTCTCTATCAAGTTGAAATATACTCGTACTACCAACAACATGGTTGATTTTGGAAAATATTGCAAATCCTTCTTCGACTTTTACACATTTCATCGTTTTTATTCTTCATTGGCTGGTTCAATTTGGACTCAACCCCTTGAAGATACCTCGAGAAGAATGTCAAACATTCTTCTGCTAAGTATCTCTCAGCTATGCTTCCTTTGAGTCAACTTCTATTTCAAACATAAGATTTTAATGTTCGAAGGTACCTGCTCAAATAAAATTATCATTATATTGTAAGCATATCCAACATGGACATGACTAAAGGAAAGAAAAAAAATATAACCCACAAGATCTATTTCCTACTGATATTCAGTTGGCAATTGAAAGGGTTGGAATTTTCAAATTGACTAATGACTACCCAAGGGGATGAGTGGTTTTGGGTGAGGGAGCGAGGTGGAAAGTTCATTGTTAAATCTTGCTACACAATGTTAGTGATACAGACTTGTTTAGAGTTGAGGGAATGGGCTTTTTGGGTGAAATTCTGGAAAAGCTAAAATTTACACTTGTGTTCATTTGTTCCTATGTCTATGTTTGGTTGCAATGCAAATAAATTTAAATTTTGATATTTTTGTTTCAAATTTTAGCTTATTTTGTTCGATTGCAATGTAAATGAAGTAAATTAAGACATCAAGCAGAATAAAGTAAAATCCAAAACAAAATTAAACAAAAATTTTCATTTTTACATTTGCACTCCCATGCATTTGTACTAGTGCAAATAAATTTGCACGACAACCAAACACAACCTATGGAAATTACTACAAGGAGTGGTGTTCACCAAGAACAGGTGGTGGGGTGATTATGTGGATTGTCGTTGTGTACTGTGTATCGGACAGATAGAAACAATGGAGCATTTGTTTTTATCTTGTGCTTTTTCTGAAGCTGTGTGGTTTGGAGTGTTGGGCTGACACTCCAATACTGTTAATGATGTATCAATGTGCATGTTGCACAACAATGGCATTTACAAACAGAAGTATTTCTCTTGTATTATATTCTTCTCTTTCTTGGAGGAAATATATAGGTGTAATTACATCTTACATAGGAAATAATCTTATTCTAAGGCAACTATACAAATATTAATATACAAGATTTGGTCAACTAATCAGATTCCTATAATYATGAAACTAACTACCATATTTACAAAGGACAATTCATTCTAACACTCCCCCTCAAGTTGGAGCATATATGTCTATCATGCCCAACTTGTTAACTATCTCATGGAACACCTTTCCTGATACGACTTTTGTAAGTGTATCAGTTAGCTGATTTTCTGACTTGACAAACGGAAACCATATGAGCTTTTGATCTAACTTCTCTTTGATAAAATGACGATCAATCTCAACATGTTTGGTGTGGTCATGCTGTATAGGATTCTGTGCAATTTCAATGGCTGCCTTATAATCACAGTGAAGATTCATCAATTTTGCATATTTAATCCCTAAATCTTTGAGAACACCCTTAATCCATAATAACTCGCAAACACCATGATCCATACCTCGGAATTCAGCTTCTGCACTCGACCTTGCAACTACCTTTTGCTTTTTGCTTCTCCAAGTAACAAGATTACCTTCAACGAAAGTGAAGTAACCAGATGTAGATTTTCTGGTTGTTTGATCTCCTGCCGAATCGGCATTCGTGTATCCCTCAACGCTTGAGACATCATTTTTTGAGAATAATAGACCCTTTACTGGAGCACCCTTCAAGTACCTTAGAATTTGGTTCACTGCATTCATATGTTCTTCACTCGACGCATGCATAAACTGGCTTACAACACTGACAGCATAGACTATGTTTGGTCTCGTATGAGATAGATAAATTAATCTACCAACTAACCGTTGATAATGGCCCACGCCTGTTGGGACTTGATTTGGAAAAGTTCTGAGCATGTGATTAACTTCTATAAGTGTTGTTGCTGGTTTGCAAGCAAGCATTTCGGTTTCAGTCAAAAGATCTAGCACATATTTTCGTTGTGAGAGGAAAATYCCTCGTTCTGATCTTGCTATTTCAATTCCTAAGAAATATTTAAGTTGTCAAAGTCTCTTCATTTCGAACTCAGTAGCCAAATATTCTTGTAACAACTTCATCTCTT